ATAGTAATAAAGCAGAAATACATATCTTTCAGCTCTTTGCACATTTCATTATAGTACTTTGTCTTGCAGAATTGTCCTTTGAAATTTCTGTTCAGCTCTTTTACTTCCTCATTTCTGCCATTTTGCTTTAGCATCTCTATACTGGAGAAAAAGTTTGAAAGTCTCTTCTGACATCCATTTTGGTATTTTCCTTCTTTCTTGTTTTTTTAGTGACCTTTTGCTTTCTTCCAGTATTATGGGTTCTTAATATCATCCCACAACTTTCTGGTCTTGGGTCGTTAGTGTTTAATGTATCAAATCTGTTCTTGATCTCTGAATTTAGGTTCTGGTGTGGCACTGTAGGTAAATGCGCTGGACTGCAAAGCCAGTTTGAACCACAAGGTCAGTGATTCAAGTTCACCAGCTGCTCCTTGAAAACCCTGTTAAGAGTCTCGATGGGTTGGAAATGACTCAACAGCACTTAACATCAACAATGTTCAAGGTCAAATTTTGGCTCTTCTGGACTTTTATTTTCTTAGGCATCAGCCTGAACTTGCACATGAGCAATCGATGGTCTATTCCACCATCTACCCCTCGCCTTGTTTTGGCTGATGATGTGGAGCTTTTCTATTGTCTCTTCCCACAGATGTAGTCATTTTGATTTCTGTGTATTCCTTCTGGTGAGATCCACGTATATAGTTGTCTTTTATGTTATTTAAAACACGTATTTGCAATGTAAAAGTCTTGCAAAATTCTATCATGGGATCTCCAGCATCGTTTCTGTCAACAAGGCCATATTTTCCAACTATTGATCCTTTCTCTTTGTTTCCAACCTTTGCATTCCAATCACCGGTAATTATCAATACATCTTATTGCATATTTGATATTTCAGATTGAAGAAGTTTGTAGAATTTCATTATCACGGCCTCTACTGATGCATAAATTTGAATAATGGTGGTATTAACTGATCTTATTTGCATGTTTATGGATATTATTCTATTACAGATAGCATTCTACTTCAAGATAGATCTTGCAATCTTGTTTTTTAATGATGAATGCAACACCATTCCTCTTCAATTTCTCATTCCCAGCATAGTAAACCACTTGATTGTCACATTCAAAATGACCAGTACCAGTGCATTTCAGCTCAGCAATGCTTAGGATATTGATCTTTATGCATTTCATTTTTGACAACTTCCAATTTTCATAGATCCATACATAGTACATTCCATGTTCTGATTACTAAAGGATGCTTGCAGCTGTTTTCTCATTTTGAGTCGTGCCCATCAGCAATGAAGGTCCCAAAAGCTTTACTCCATTTGTGTCATCATGATCAACTCTACTTTAAGAAGACAGCTCTTCCCCAGTTATATTTTGAGTGCCTTCCAACCTGAGGGGTTGATCTTCAGGTGCTGTATCTGATAATATTCTGGTGCTATTCATACTATTTTTAGTATTCAGTATTCTGATACTGACAGTGTTCTACTATTATTCATAAGGTTTTCGTTAGCTAAGCATTCAGAAGTAGTCTGTCTGCCTCTCCTTCCTAGTCTGCCTTAGTCTTGAAACGCAGCTAAAACCTGGCCACCATGAGTGACCCTGCTTTATATTAAGTGCCAGTGGCATAGCTTCCAGCATCACAGCATCATGCAGGCCACCACAGTATGACAAACTGACAGATGAGTGGTAGATAAAATCAGTAGGTCTGATTTCTGTATGTCCAACAGTCCTTCCTTAAGTTTATTGCAAGAGGAAGCTAGGTGGCATCTCCCACAACCTGGGACTAAGTTCCCTTAGCTAGATCACCCATTTCACTAGGTACATTTTCTACTTTCCATGTTATTGCCGATGACCGTGTTGCTGGCCTCTCTGTCATGGCTTGACAGAGATCTTGTTTCTCCAGTTTCCTTTAAACCCTAAGCAACAGGGGGAGGGTTTAGGTTGGGGGCCATTCAGTTTATGCTGACTGAATGTTTAATGTTCTTTAGACCCTCATCAACCCACTCCTCAAGGTCCTTTCAGCTTCCACATACCAAACCTCTCCCACATTTTCAGAGGTTTTTATGGTAGCACACTACTTCTAATACGAAAACCTGTGTTATCTATTGTTGTTGGTAGGTACCATCTAATCAGTTCTAGTTCTTAGCAACCCCACATACAACAGAATGAATCACTCTCCAGTCTTGCATCATCCTTACAACCATTGCTGTTTAAACCCACTGTTGGTGTTACCTACTACTGAATTGGAAAGCTGGTGTAGTGCTGTAGGCTAAGCATTGGATTGCTAACCACAGGTCAGCAGTTCAAACCCACCAGCCACTCCTTGTAAAACCTATTCAGGGTCGCTCTGAGTCAGAACCAACTCGATGGTACTTAACAACAGCAACAACAAAACTTAGGAGCTAAAAGCATTAGTAAGCACTGTCTCTTCCAGTTTTATGTTGCTCAGGAATGTGGGAGAGGTTTAGCTGGTCGTTTCCGGTTCAGGGTCTCCCTTATAGTTGCAGTCAAAATGTCAGCCTGAAATGCGGTCACCTGAAGGCTTGGTTGGGTGGGGCTGGAGGACCTGCTATTTGGTTTGATGCTGGCTGTGAGCAGGAAGCCTCAGCAACTCTTCACGTGATCCTCCCCACTGGGATGCTTGAGGGTGTTCATGAGATGGTGACTGGCTTGCCATATAGCAAGAAATCCAGTATTTCATGACCTAATCTCAAGAGTCACACAGATCAGTCCTATTCAGTGTAGGAGAGGACCTACACAAAAGCATGGATCTCAGGAGACAGGGATCATTGGGGGACATCTTGGAGGGCAGCTATCACAGTTGCAGTGGTACCTCAATAGGGGGCTGCCAGAAATTCAAGATGGTTCCAGAAGAGGATGTGAAATGAGGAATATCATTGTTGATGTTAAATAGATCTTGGCTGAAAGCAGAGACTGCCAGAAAGCTGTTTACTTGTGGTTTATGACTATGCAAAGGCCTTTAAATGTACGGATACTAAAACAAACTATGCCAAGAATGAGTATTCCAATTGTCTGAATAGAACAAGGGAATACTATATGGCTTAAAATCAGGAAAGGTGTGTGTCAGGGTTGTATTCTTTCATCACACTAAAGAATGCCTACAGGTCAAAAACAGTAAGACCAACAACCTAATAAAAACTAGTGAACAAAAGATTAAACAGTTGCTATACAAAAGTCCAGATGTGGCACTACAGGATAAGCACTGTGCCTCAAGGTCAGTTTAAACTGCAAGGTCAGCAGTTCAAACTCACCAGTCGCTCTTCGGTCGCTATTGAGTTGAAACCAATGCGACGTCACTTAACAACAACAACATACAAAAGAAGATAAATAAATGGCCATACTGAGCACATGTAAAGATGCTCAACATTCCCAAGGAAAAACCACAATAAGATATCATTACACACTCATGTGAATGGCTAAAATTAAAAAGACCGACAATACTAAGTGTTGGTAAGGACTTGGAACACCTGGAACTCTCATACTGGGAATGTAAAATGGTAAAATCACTTTGGAAAACAGTTTCTTATATAGTTCAACATTTATTATTAAACCCAGTGATGCATTTACCCAAAATAAATGAGAACGTCTACACAGTGACCTTCGCAGGGATATTCTTCGTTGTTTATTTATGAAGGCCAAGAATTAGAAGCAACCCAATTGTTCACTAACAGATAAATGGGTAAACAAGTTATGGTATATCCATTCAATGAATTACAACTTGGCAATACAAAGGAATATGAGGAGGCTTCACAAACTTTGTGGAAAAAAAACATTTTAGCACAAACTTTTTGAAGCCCCTTCATATATATTAATACAAGCAAGTACATGCAGGAATCTCAAATACTTTATCCTGAGTGAGATGCCAGACCCCAAAACATACTGTATGATTCCATATATACATATATGTATATATATATCAAATATTAAAAAAGGCTAGGGATGCAGAAGGACACAAGGGAGCTTTTGGGGCTTGGAGGTTGCCAATGTTTGATTATGTTGGTGGAGTCAAAACTAATCAGATATATAGTGTGATGCATGTTATTGTATGTAAATTATATTTTGGTAAAATTGAGTTTTAAAAATCAGTTTATCGGAAATCCCTGGATGAGGTCAGGCAGCCCCAATATGCATGCTTCCCCCTCACAATTGGCATTTTCCTCCATTGCACCTCCCTGAGTTTGTACTTATACCTTTACTGGGATGACTATATTGGGAGCTCTGGTAGCGTAGTGGTTACGAATCGGGTTGCGAACCTTCAGGTCAGCAGTTTGAAACTACCAATTGTTCCACAGGAGAAAGATGAGGCTTTCTGCTCCCGTAAAAATTTACAGCCTCAGAAACCCTGTACAGGGGTCGCTATGAGTCAGAACCGACTCCACGGCGCACAACAACAACAACAACAACAACAACAACAACATATGTTTCCTAGGAGTCCCGGTGTGGTGCTGTAGAATCTGCATTAGACTGCTAGCTTCAAGGTCAGTGGTTCAAACTCACCAACTACTCCTTGGAAACCTTTTCTAAGGTTACCAGGAGTTGGAAGTGACTTAACAGCAGTTAACAATAATATGTTTACTAGGAGTCTTGGTGGCACTGTGGGCTAAGCATTGGGCTGCTAACCGCAAGGCCGTTGATTCAAACTTCCCAGCTGCTCTGTAGGGGCAAGATGAAGCAATCTGATCCCATAGAAACTGACAGCCTCAGAAGCTTAGGAAGCAGTTCTCTGTCCTACCGTGAGCCGAGCCGGCAACGACTGACAGCAGGGAGTGTGCGTTTCCTGTCAGTTAATTGCCTCTTAATGAGGAGAGCCTGGGCTCCATCTCACTTGCTCAACCAGTGATGGCTAAGTACCATGGCTGCACACAGTAGGTGCTCAATAAATGCTTATTAAATGAATGCAGGAGGGAGCAAATGAAGAGGGCCATGTTCTCACAGGAAACAAAAGGATGAATAGCAGCTGGGTTGGGCTTGGTAACCCAGGGCTGGGGTGAGCTGCTGGGCTAGAGTTCTGTGGAGCCGATGATCTCCGGACCCCTCCACATAGGCCCCTGGCTCCTGCCAGGGAAGTTGATTTTGTGCAGTTCCTCAGATATTTCCAGAAAGGTCTTGCCTTTGGTCTCAGGAAGGAACAAGCCGGTGTAGATGGCCCCACAGACACAGATGATGAGGAAAGGGACATAGAGGAAGGAAGACAAGCCCTCCTGTGGGTTAGAAGAGACCCCAGACCTGTGTGGCTCCAGCCAGCCCCCACCCTGAAAACCCTATGTCAGGTCATGGAATTTGCCCCATTTTGCTCAGTAAGACCCATCCCCGATTATCTTGGTCTCCCTGGATGAAGCCCCCCCCAACTGGGGTTCTCCTACTGATGTGGATGACTGGGGGCACCTACCATGAGGAAGGGGAAGCCCAGCCCCACCAGGAACAGCATGATCCACAGGAGTGCCCCACAGACCATGTAGGCAGCAGGCCGGGCTGTCTGGTCAAATAGCTCAGTGGCCAGGATGCCTGTCACTCCAGCTGCAAGAGGGGTGGGAACAGAAGATGGGGACTAGGCCCAGCCACCCTTCCAGAGGCTTCACAGTGCCTTCACTGAGGCCCAAGCCCTCTGCCTACTCACCTGGGCCGATACCAAAGCTGAGGATGAAGGCAAAGATGCAGAACATGGCCAGGAAAGGCATCCAGGGGAAGGAATTCTGTGGCAGAGGGCAGGTGGTAAGGGAGAGGGCAGGCTTCTAGCCATACCCCATGTGTCCCCGCCAGCTACCTGCAGGCACAGGGCGATTGTGAAGATGCTCCCCCAGCAGGTCATCAGGCAGTAACCCCCCATCAGCAGCACTCGTCGACCCACTCTCTCGATCACCACACACTGTAAAGGAAGAAGCCCAGTCAGTCTCTGACCCATGCCATACGCTGGCCACAGCCCCCTCAGTTTCAGGAACCTGAGTTTATTGCCTCAGGACATCGAGACATTGTCTATCTTTCAAGCTATCCATTTCTTCATCTCAACCTAGCAGTGTGAAAGCCCAGGAAACAGCAGGTGCTCAATAAACAATTGTGAAGTCACTAGATTGTAATAGTGCACCCTTGAGTAGAAAATGGTTTAATGTGGAGGAGAGAAGCCCTAGGAGTATCCCTGTGGGGGCCAGGGCATCCCATGGGGCAGGGCTGGTGGAAGATCAGCCAGAAGCCAAGTAGATACCACCCAGAGCAGTAACTCATGGTGTCACCCCCCCACCCACTCATGGACCTCCTCTCATAGCAGACCATACAGAACCCTTAAACCCACTGCTCCTGAGTTGATTCTGACTCCTAGTGACCCTAAAGACAGAGTAGAGCTGCCCCCCTAGGGTTTCTGAATTGGTTCATCTTTATGGAAGCAGACAGACCTCATCTCTCGCCAGAGGAGTAAGTAGCTAGTGGTTTTGAACCACCCACTTTGTGGTTTGCAGTCCAACACAACCCACTATGTAACCAGTGCTCCTTCCAATAGCCTTGTTGTGTACCTTCGAGTTGGTTCTGACTCATAGCAACCTGGAACAGGGTTTCCGAGGCTATAAATCTTTATAGAAGCAGAAGGCCTCATATTTCTCCCAAGGAGCAGCTAGTGGATTCAAACTGCTGATCTTATGTTTAGCATCCCAACATGAAACACACTACGCCACCAGCGCACGTTTCTAGAAGCCTTAGTTTATTATCAATTTGAATCATAAAACATATAACTATAGTTGTAAATTGCTTATAAGAAATATTTCTTAGATTATATGAATACTAACAAAAAATCATTTTGTAAAACTTTTCGACATTAAATTACAACACTATCAGTAACAGCAGAAGTCTTTAAAAAAAAAATCTTTCCTATCTTTTTCTTTCAATTATTGCTTCATTCTCAAAAAAATCATACAAGTTTACAATGACTAATTACCACAATGTTGTAGCTGAGACACCAGAAATGTGACAAACTCAGCAACTCTAAAAACAACAGCAGCAAAAAGAACAGCAGAACTAGCTGTTTGTCACATGTGCGGATGAAGCTTTTAGATTCTAAGCATCATTGTAATCGGGTAATAATGACAGCTCTAACCTGAACACATTAGAAGGTTCAGAAAGCAAATTTAGAATTTCAGCCTTGTAGCTATTTTGATAAGGAGCCCTGGAGGCATCGGGCTTTACGCATTGGGCTGCTAACTGCAAGGTTGGCTAACCAACCACTCCTGGGGAGAACAATGAGGCTGTCTGCTTCTGTAAAGACTGACAGCCTCAGAGACCCTAGGGAGTAATTCTACTCTATCCCACAAGGTCACTATGAGTTGGAATCTACCTAAGGCCAGTGGGTTAGGTATACATGTATGCTGGACTTATAAAAAGTTTACTACAGGGATATTTTTATTAAAAATAATAAATTTCTGCTGAAATACTGCACATTTTATAGACCATCATTTTGGTGTTACTTTCTGACAGTGTCACTGGGTTGTCTGCACCGCCCCCTGTACCCCCAATGATGTCATTGTGTTGACCACTCCCAGACTCACGCTGATGAATGACGTGAGCAACTCACAGCTCCCTGTCCCAATAATGGCGTACTGGACCATCTCTTCTGGCATGCCAGCTGCCAGGAACACGGAGGAGGCGTAGGCGTACACCTGGAGAAAAGGGCGTGCAAGGCCAGCTCAGGAAGGGGGGCCTCCATCTCCCATTAGCCTCCTACAGCTCCCAGCTGCTCACCCAGCAGGGCCCTGACACTCAAGAGGACTCACCGAGTCATTTCCACACAGCTCCATGGCGCTGCCCAGAACCACGAGGCTTATCACCTGTCTCCGTAGGGCCCTGTCCCGGAACAGCTCCCATGGTCGCCTTGACCGCCGGCCCTGGCAGGAGGCCCGCTCTGCTACTAGCTCCTCCAACTCCACAGCAACATCTCTGCCTCCTCTCAGCTGCCGCAGCGCTGAGGAAAGAGACCCGGGTGCTAAGCCTTGCTCCCTGGACTCTCACCAATAGCCCCTACCCACCAACTCAGTTTTCTCCCAAGGCTGTTAGGAGGATCAGCATGAAAAGACCTTAGAAGTAGGAGTTCTGTGCATACATCAGACAGAATACAATAATCATGGTAGATAAAACCCAAAAAAACCACCAAACCCACTGTCATCAAGTATATTTGGACTCACAGCAGCCTTATTTAGGCTTTCTGAGACAGTAAAGCTTTACGAGGACAACCTTACCGTTCTGCACAACAGCTGGTGGGTTTGAACTGTCAACCTTGTGGTTAGCATCCCAATGCCTAACCCAAAGCACCACCTGGGACCCCCCATCATAGATTATCCCTAATTCTCCACCCTTGCTTTTATCCCTCCCTTGCTATATGAGTCTGCAGTGTACCGCTCTCCACAAAAGAGTTGCTATTAAGTTGATTAGGACTCAACCCAGCCTGGATTTGCCAGCCCCAAAGGTTTCTCAGAAGTTAGAGCTCAGTAATTGCTTCTTCAGCTTGCCACTAAGATGCTGTGATTGTCTGTTAGGCAACAATGGAGGTGACCCATAAACTGATACTAGGAGTAAGTGCTAGCAGAACTCTCTGGCACTGGTCCTGAGACCAAGCAGAGAACAGTATGAAAACTGTTCAGGAGCCTAGGGAAATGAAAGTCCATGTTACAATACAGTGCAGTTACTTGGAAGAAAGAAACAAAACTCATGAACTTTTGGACTTGGGCACTGAGATCTCTAAATGTTGTAACCATGAACTACTTGCTTTTATCTGAGTATCATAACTTCACCATAAAAAAGAAATATGATCCAAAAAGAACCATCAAGGAAGAATTAGGGAAGAAAAATTCAGAGGGAACAAAATTCCATTTGATTTCATTTATTTCAGACCTTGCTAAACCAAAAACCAAACCCACTGCCATAAAGTTGTTTCTGACTCACAGTGACCCTAGAGGGCACAGTACAACTGCTTCTTTGGGTTTCTAAGACTGCAAATCTTTATAGAGCAGAGAGCCTCATCTTTCTCCTGAGGAGCAGCTAGTGGGTTTGAAATGCCAACCTTGAGGTTAGCAGCACAACACTTACCCCAGAGCACCACCAAGGCTCCTTCAGAACTTGCTAGGTAATTAAAAAAAAAAAAAAAAAGTGTCTCTTCTTCATCCCCTCCAGCTAGCAAAAGAGCTCCAACATGTTATAGTCTTAGAACAAAGAGCAAGGCACAGACCCAGGGTGAAGATCAAACCAAGGGTGTAGTCTACAGCAGGACCTCACAGGCTCTCCTAGCTGGAGAAAAGGGAATTCAGAGTGTCAGTCCACAGCAGTCTGACATGTCCAAAATACCAGTAATTAGGTCTAGAGAAAGGAGCAGATTTTTATGGACATAGCTTTTTTGGGGCACACAAAGTAGACTGGAATCAAATACACAGAAAACTCACAAAGTTTTTAAGAAAGTTATATTGGCAAACCTCTGCTTTGTTGTTGTTGTTAGGTGCCATCGAGTCGGTACCGACTCATAGCGACCCTATGTACAACAGAATGAAACACTGCCCAATCCTGGGCCAACCTCACTATTGTTGCCACGCTTGAGCCCGTTGATGCTGCCACTTTGCCAATCCATCTTGTTGGGGGTCTTCCTCTTTTTCCCTGACCCTCCACCTTACCAAACATGATATCCTTTTCCAGTGACTGGTCCCTCCTGACAATACGTCTAAAGTTTGAGAGACGAAGTTTGGCCATCTTGGCCTCTAAGGAGCACTTTGGCTGCAGGTCACTGTCATGGCCTACTTGGACCTCTTTGGAGGCTGGATGATAGACGAGTGGACGCAGTTGAACCAGCTGCTCCTTCTGCAGTGTGCTGCTATGCTGGGCATTGGAAGAGGTGTGTGCCTAGTAGGAGCCACACACATCGTGGCGGGCCACCACACAGACAACATATGAGAGACGTGCTCATGAACTTCCTGCTGGGCCATATGGGGTGGCTGAGGCCTGGACTCACTGGATGAGTGGGCTGAGCTACCCCAGAGCTGCCCTCTGCAGCTGACCTAACAGAAGGTTGTTGTTAAGTGCCATGGAGTTGGTTCTGACCCATAGCACCCTGCATAGGGTTTCTGAGAAGCAGAGGGTAAGCTTGAACCGTTGACCTTGTGGTTCAAACAGACTTGCAGTCCAGCGTATCAACCCACAGCGCCACATTTGGTAGTGCTGTTTGCATACTTCCGCTGCTTGGACTACTTCCACCGCCTGGATTACTTCTCTGTGGAAACTGAGCTCAAGAGAGGCCTTGTGCGCTCACGTTTGTCCTGCTTAAGTGCCTGGGGGTGGCGCGGCCGTAAGTAGTGCTGGACCTCTTGCACTTGGCCAAGCACCTGGCATGGCACTGCACCTGGGGCAGGGTGCTGACCAGCTGCACGCTCTGCCAGACCTGCTTACTGCTTGACAACCTGAATGAGACACCGCGGACCCAGGCCCAGCCCTATCACTCTATGGCCCTTCCTGCCTTCCAGCTTGAGCAATGCTCCGGTTAGTGTTCCCATGTCACAGGAAAGTTACGATTGCCCTTGATCTCTACAAATAAACCCCAGTTTCCTTAAAACAACAACCAAAGTTTTGTTAACATAGCTTAAAACCAGATCAAAATGGTTGTCATGGTCCATGTAAACAGGGGTTCTGTGTGTGTGTGTGTGTGTGTGTGTGTGTGTTGCATAGCAACCAAATTTGTTGCATTGCCTTTTGACAAAGTAGGAAGCAGGCAACGGTGCCTCGCTCAAAAAATGGCGGCCGACCATGCTGCTCTGAATGTTGGAGATTGGATTATTTGCTAAATAAACTGAACCATTTTAAACCTATTTGAAGCCCTACTTTTGTAATATGCTTCAAAATCAGGTAGTATGAGTCCTTCCAATTTTTTTTTTTCTTTCTCTCAAGACTGGCTATTTAATTCCTTTGCAATTCCATATAAATCTTAGCCTCAAACCACTGAGATTTTGTGATTGCTCCTTGGGCATCATTACTGTAGACAAAGGTAACTGATAAGATGATCATCACCCACCAAGCACTGGGCAAAAATGTTATCTCAGAATTTCAACTTGCACCTGTGTGGGAGTTTTTCTTCTGTGCCTCTGCCTGGATGGTAGGAATTGGGGTCTTCTGTGTTCTGCTTGGCATTTAGGAGGAGCCGCTTAATGAGTTTGGAAGGAAAAATGGATGGACCATGAAACTGAGGCATAAAGAAGGATAGGTTTTTCATTAAACCCAAGAAATGGAAACCTGTACACTCTGTTCAGTTGGGCTGCATGGTCGTGGTTAGTCTGGAGGCTCAAGGACAGGGACTCACCTGCCAGGCAGGCCTTTGCATCTCCACAGTCAATGAGAAGGTAGCGCGGACTCTCCGGAAGCATGGGCAGGAAGACAAGCTGTAGCATCCCGGGCACTAGGCAGCTGGACAGCAGCATGGGCCAGGACTGTGGGCCACCCAGGAACTCCCTGGAGGAGACAGGAGATGGGCTCAGGCATCCCCTTCCCAGAGCCCTGCTCTGTCCATCTGCTCACCTGCAGAGTTCTGCATTGCCCTGCGCCGCTTCCTAACTAACTCTGGCCTGGACACCAATATTCCTCTCACCTGGTTGGTACCGAAAAGGGTAGGACCATTGCTCCTTCTTTCCTCTGAGATCAGGCTCTACCCACTCCTCTTTCTGTTCCCATGTATGAGCCCAAATCTTCCCCTATTCCGTAGGACCTTCAGTATCCCCTGATCTGGACAGGACAGGAAGGTGAGACTCCCTGAGTATGGATGACTGAGAGCCATTTTATACATTACCAGATGGATGTGGGCAGGGGAGAACTGGACGGAAGGTCTTGTACAGACACCCCTCAACCCATTAAATGCTCATGATGGGGGAGGTTACCTGAGTCCAACCACCTGTCCCATCACAATTCCCAGGGCTGCAAAGATGGCTGAGGTCATGGCCACAGCACCTCGGAGCTCCTTGGGGGCGCTTTCTCCCAGGTACATGGGCTGGATGTTCATGCTTACACCTAGACACATGAGCACAGCACAAATAAGGTTGGTGCTAGGACACTGGCCTGTCTTTTCTGCCTACTGCCTAATCTGTTGTCTGCTGCATCCTGAGTCTTAAGAGCAAGAGGATGCTAACTCCAGCCCACCTCTCTGCAGGACTTTTGAGAAAGCTGTTTTTCTCAGCTCAGCTCCCATCTAGTCCCCTTACCACACTGCTCACATTGTGTTCATGGACTAGACAGGCTCTTGGAGAGCTGAGCCTGGAGGCAGGGGAAGGGCAAGACCTTGTCCCCCACTGAGCTGGCTTTCACCCTGGCTTCTCAGGACTCCATTCCAGCTTGGGGTCTTGTAATTCCAGTGCAGCGAATTACTTAATACGGCTCTTCTAGCCACAGTGCAGGAGTCCTGGTGTGGCACTGTGGGTTAATGCACTTGGACTGCAAAGTCAGTTTGAACCACAAAGTCGGCGGTTCAAGCTCACCAGCCGCTTCTCCGAAACTCTATACAAGGTCGCTATGGGTTGGCACCAACTTGACAGGACTTAACAACAACAGGCCACAGTTCAAAGATGTCCTGATGGTGCAGAGGGCTAAATGTTGGACGACTAACTGAAAGGTTGGCAGTTCAAATCCACCAGCTGCTCTGTGGGAGAAAGACAAAGCAGTCTGCTCCCATAAAGATTTACAACCTAGGGAACAGTTGTTCTCCTTTGTCCTACAGGGTCACTTTTGTTGTTGTTAAGTGCTGTCAAGTCAGTTCCTACTCACAGCAACCCTGTATAGGGTTTCTGAAGAACAACTAGTGGGTGTGAACTGCCAACCTTGTGTTTCGCAGTCCAGTGCTGACACTACAGCATCACACCAGAAGTCCTACAAGGTCATTATGACTTGGAATTCACTCAATGACGGTGTATTTGAATTAGTCTGTAGCCATATTGTTGTTGTTGTTAAGTGCTGTCTACTTGGTTCTGACTCAGAGCAACCCTGTATATGGTTTCTGATGAGTGGCTGGTGATTTTTGAACTGCCTACTTTATGGTTCAAACCGACCTTGCGGTTAAGGATTTACCCTACTGCGTTACAGTCCTTCATCTTCTAATGTATTATAAACCCTAGCCTCTGGACCTAGCTTGTGCTTCCATTCTGGAGTGAGTTGTCTGATAAGTTAATGAGGCAGGATTGGGGTGGGATGTATTTTGAGTCACCACATTACTAGAGTGTTAATCAAGTCACCACCCTTAATTTCCTTGGGGGTGTAGTTTGCATCTAATATATAGGAAAGCTCTACAAAGCTCTTTCTTGCTCTGGGTCATCTACATCTGACCTCTGGTTCTTGGGACTTGAGCCAGCAGTCTATCATTTGACCTGATTTGTCAACTTTTGCAGCCTTGTGAGCAGTGGCCTATTTGTCTGACCTGCTGATTTGGATTCATCAGCTCCTTTGGCCACATGGATCTGAAGAGGCCTCCAGGCTGATGCTTGACCCATAGATTTGGGACTGGCCAGCCTCTACAACTACATGAGCTATTTCCTTGATGGTTCCTGAGTTCTATGAGCCACTGAAGTGAATTATGGAACCCATAGACAAAGACAGGAGGTAAAGTACTGAGGGGAGGAAAAGTAGCTGATGTTAGAGAGGATGGAGTGGTATAGCAGTTTGGAAAAGTTGGACATTTGGGACCTCTTTAACCTATTCCTCACAGGAACCAGCTCTGTGCTGATCCTTCTGAAAGAAGTTATTCATGCAATGTCTTGCCTCATCATCTTCCCTGTTCCCCCAGTGAAGTCCCTGTTATGTGTGTAGTCAGTGAGAGGAGGTGCTAAATGGAGGTGATGGCATCAGGGTGCCATACACCTGGCAACACTGCTCCTTCCAGGAAACATCACTATTTGATTGACACAGAAGATCTCTTTAAACTGCTAAAGAGCAAAAATGTTACTTTTGAGGACTAAAGTGTATCTGACCCAAGCCATGGTATTTTCAGTTGCCTCATATGCATGTGAAAGCTGTATCATGAATTAGGAAGAACAGAGAAGAAATGATACCTTCTCTGTTGATGAAGAATATTGAATATACCATGAACTGCCTGAAGAATAAGGAGCTCTGGTAGCATAGTGGCTATGAATCAGGCTACTAACCTAAAAGTCAGCAGTTTGAAACTATCAGGCGTTCCACAAGAGAATGATGAGGTTTCTGCTCCTGTAAAGATTTACAGCCTTAGAAACCCGATACAGAGTCAGTCAGAACTGACTCCACAATACACCACTACTACCACCAGAGAATGAACATATCTTGGAAGAAGGATAGCCAGAATGTTCCTCAGAAGAAAAGATGGTGAGACATTATCACACAGATTTCGGACATGTTATTAGGAGGGACCAGTCCGTGGAGAAGGACATCATACTTGGTAGAGAAGAAGGTCAGTGAAAAAGAGGAAGGCCCTCAATGAGATTGACATACTGGCTGCAACAGTGGGCTCAAACACAGCAACCACTGTGAGGATGGTGCACAACTGGGCAGTTTTCATTCTGTTGTACACCTAAGAACAACTATCATAAGCACTGGGTGAAAGAGCTGAGAGGAAGGTGGTACACTGATTGCCAAGACATTTGAGGTGTCCCTGCTCTTTCTACTTGAGGAAGGACTCCTTCTCTGCTAACTATTAGATTAGAAAGACAAAGTCTGTCCTTGTTTCTCTTCTCTTGGATATAGGTTGTTCTCAATGGCATTCTTTTAAGGAATAGAGTCTGGCAAAACTACTGCTGTATGCCTTCTGAGATTATTACATAGAAAGCACTGGGACTCCTCCTTGTTCTCAGATCACTCACTCTAGGGAAGCCAGCTGCCATGTGAGCTCACCAGGTGAGGAACAGAAGAGCACAGCCACATGAGTGCACCACCTTGAGAGCAGAGCCTCCAGTCTCAGGCAACTGCAGTCCTGGCTAACAGCTTGAGTCATAATCTCATGAGAGACCCTAAGCCAGAACTACAGTTGACGTTTGTGGGTTTAAACCAATAAATCTTAGGGCTAGTTATTCATAGGACTAGACAGACATTAACAATAGACTATGTAGTTAGGAGGGGCCAAGAAGTGATTTGTTGATTAAAGGCCCAAAAAGCCCACTCAAAATTCGCTCCCCAATGTGACAAGCCCCAGACAAAGAGTCCCTAACAGGCTATTCTTCCTCTGTAGGAAAGATCAGAGCACTCATCTGCTATGTTTTTAGACCTTGGCTGCCAGGAAACCCATGGCTTAATGTTGGCCAAACACAAGACTTCTGTTGGTATAGGTATTGGGAGGTTTGTTCCTCTATTCCTGCACAATGTTTTCAATTTTCTGTCTATTTTAAATATCTAACAATTTTATGAGCCTTTAAAAAGGAACCATGTTAAATCATTTTGCTGAATCATGGTGTTGGCAAAGAATATTCAATATATCATGGACTGCAAGAAGAACAAACAAATTTGTCTTGGAAGAATTAGCGTCAAAATGCTCCATACGAGCAAGGATGGTGAAACTTAGTCTCATGTTCTGTGATAGTCAAGGCTTTGTGTCAACTTGACTGGGTCAGGATTCTCTGTGGTTTGGTAACTGAGATGTAGTAACCCCCAATGATGAGACCCAATATAATGTTATCACCTCTATAATGAGATCTGCTACAAGTAACCAGTTAATTGAAAGGACGTTTCCTTGTGGGTGTGGGGTGCTTCCAATATATTGGACACTCTGGCAAAGTCTACTTGCTTTCTGTTGGGTCTGGATCCTACATCTGGCTTGTCATTCCAACCTCCCATTCAAGCCAGTGGCCTGCTCTGTTGAATGCCTTTCTGGGGAGTCTTCGGCAGCCTGCCACCTCACCTGCCCAACATACCTGCCTGCCATCTGACTTGCTGATATTGGTTCATCTGACCCATGGTCTTGGGATGTGTCCACCTCTACAACTGTGTGAGCCATTTCCTTAGGTATAAATTTCTCTTTATATGCAACCATATGAAAGCTTACTCATTTTGCTTCTTTGAAGAAATCACCCTAAGATGTTTGATACTGACAGTGGTTTTAGAGAAACAAAATCATAAGAATGAGTTTCCTAAATTGGTTCTCAAGTCTGACTAGTTTTAAAGGCACTAATAACACTGTCTCCACTAGTAAAGAGAGTGAGGGAGTTGCTAACCCATGACATGAGGTGGCAATAGTAAAACATAAAATATCACCACCAATAGATCACGCACTAGGGAGACCAATGGATCACGTACTGTAGAGAAGTGAGACTCTTGGTGATATTTTTCTGCAGTTTCGTCAGGAGAAGTATAGAGAAGCTGATGGTTGGCCCTACTTACAGTATACCAAGTGGTAAAAGGAAAAAGATAAACTCAGGGCTAAGGAGGCTCAAGCACCACATAAAAGATCTCAAAGTTTCCACTTGTGCCCAGAAAGAAAGCCTTTATTTCTTGAAGCAGTTGTTGTTGTTAAGTACTGTGCTGATCCTACAGCACCACAGCAGGAGTCCATTTCTTGTAGTTGCTGTGGTCCTATGCTGTCGAGTTGACTCCACCACATAGCGACCCTGTATAGTATTTCTGTGGAGCAGCTGGTGGGTTTGAACTGCTGACCTTGTGGTTTGCAGTCCAGTGCTGATCCTACAGTGCCAATCAAACCCAGAGTCTTATGGTAAGAGTTTCTGAATAGCAATGCTAACTGAATTCCCAATCTTAATGGTGTCTGATGTTAAAGTGAGGGCACTGATTGGGAAGAAATGGGAGCCTGAAATTTAGGATGAGGACATATGGGTAGATTATCAGGTAGCTGGGGATGATTGTTGTTGTTATTATATGTTGTGGAGTCGGTTCCGACTTATAGTGACCCTATACAGGGTTACTGAGGCTGCAAATCTTTACAGGAGCAGAAAGCCTCATCTTTCTCCCACGGAACAGCTAGTAGTTTCGAACTGCTGACCTTACGTCGTAACCACTTACGCTACCAAAGCTCCTTAGCTGGAGGTGATAGTAAGCCCCAAGTT